GGGCTTCTTGCTCAGTGGGAAGCCTGCTTCTCCCTCTCCCACTCCTCCTGCTTGTATTCCCTCTCTCGCTGTGTCTCTCTCTGTCAAATAAATTAATAAAATATTTTAAAAATCACAATTACTATATAACAATTACACAATTCAATATATTACTATACATTACTAAATAATATTGAAAATCAACTATACATGATTTAACATTGTGAAACTTCAAAATGATCAGCAAAAATGCAAGTTGTAGTAGAATACATACAGTTTGATGCCATTTATAAACATTTTAAAAGCATAAAATATTTTTAAGGAATATATACATATATAAATCCTAAAGTCTAAGGAAGTGCATGGCAGGAGTAAATACCGAATTCAGAATAGTTCATTTTGGAGTTGAAGGAGGGAGATGCCATAGGAGAATAGACGATAGGAAACTTTTTTGTAGTAGGTAAAGTATTGTTCTTTAGGAAGAGTGGTGGGGAAAAGGAGATTATATTCTTCTTTATACCTTGTTGTACGTGTGAAGTAGTTCATTATAATTTTTTAAGAAAGACTATAGATCAATAACATTGACTTCTAGTTCCCTTGGAACTCTGAGGGGCTCTAGAAAAATCATCCGGTTTAGCCATTTTATTTACAGACTGTGAAACTGAAGAACTGTGTAACTTTCTGGTTTCTAGAAATAACTAGACTAAACCCAGATTTCCTGTCTCTTTATTAAATAAATGGTTTTTGAGTATAGTTCTTAGAGAAGGAAGTGGTGATCACTGAGTCAGTTATGAGCTTGTTAAGCTAATTTCATTTTCTTTTTGGTAAGTTTATTGATGAGGAGAAGAAATGCTCTAGTTATGGTTTATTTTCATTAGAGCAAGTCATTTGATGAAATTTTATGAACTCCTTAGGAAAGGATAGCGAAATGTTGCCAGATATTGACCACTATTAGGTAGGATCATTAATGGTTTAAGAACATTTGAAGATGAATGATTAATCACGAATCAGTGTCAAACATGAGGGGAAAGCTCTATTCTTAACCATTCAACATATTTATCAAGACTTTTGATAAAGGCAAATTAAATACATTGATCAAAATTTTGCAAAATGCAAAAGTGAAAGAGCTAATCTCTCTCGACCTTCCAGGCAAGGTTAACCACACTTACCACATTCTCTTTACCTGGACTGACTCCTCCACTAGACAGATTCCAGGCGTTACTTGCTTTGGAATCTTCTAGATTGTTGCTTGGCACACAGTAGGTGTTCAACAAATGTTTGTTGATCTTAAACAAAATGAGTTGCCAGACAGGATCATAATTCCAAGAGTCCAGGAGACAGGAGGAAGAGATCTAAACTAACTGGATGCTATTTAAAAGATACAAATTACTGTTTGGGAATTAAAAAAAAACAACACTAAAATTAATTGCACGAAAAAGAGAGGAGAAACAGTTGAGAGTGGTTCATCTAAAAAAGCCCCTCCCCTTTATTTTTTGAGAGAGGTGGTTGCTGACTTCAAGCTCTTTCAGAACAACTGTGAAAAAGGAATTAATTCTTCAGCTCATTTACAGAAATCTGGATCTCCCAGCTATGCGGAAGGTTAATGCCAGAAATAGAGCAAGGTGCAATGTGCAAATTAAGGGAGGTCATTGCCCCATTTTATTTAACATGAGTCTGTACCCAGTCCTGGGAGCCACATTTTAAACAGGACAAACAAGTACTTATTCAGAACATGGTGACCAGGGTGGCTTGAAGCCATGTCAAGTAATAAATAGTTGGAAGGCTGTGAGGGGATTTTTAGCTTGCAGAAAAACAAGGGACAGGGTTAGGGATGGAACATGGGAACTGTCTTCAAATGACTGAATAGTATTCATATTACAAAGAATGACTCCTTACTCTGTTCTACCAAGTGTATAACTGAAACCAGTAGAAATTGCAAAGTAACATACTTCAGCTCAGAATATCCTCTAACATCCTGAAATAAATGAGATGAGGTATTTGGGAGGGATAATACCATTTGGCATCGGCCGAGGTGGAAGTCGGCCAACCTGAGATTTGTTGCAGGTGCTTTTATCAGGCTGTACGATCCAAAGAAGCTCCACCTCCTGGTTCTTTGCACCTCTTTCAGCATTTATCACGTATCTTGAGTTATTCGTGTATATTCTAATCCTATCTCCCCCAATTAGCGACAACACTAACATGCTGTTTGCCCTCTCCAGCCACCACCTCTGGGGAGTAAGAGTAAGTTAACCTTGAGGAACAGTGGGAATGGCGTTTTTTGGAACAGCGAAAGGCTGCCTCCGACTATGCTATTAGGTTTTTCCCCTCCTCGATTTTTGATCTCCTAGGACACGTCTGTGAATACCATCAGACTCTGTGAGTTCCTGAAACGATTTCTCTAGAAACCTCAAAACTCAGTCGTCCCGGACCTGCGACTCTCTCTCTCTGGACTGGGCTCTACTCTATGGTAGGGAGAGCTCAGCCTTTCTACCTCTCTAGCCCTCCAGTGGAGCCTCTATGGTTTCCGGAGGCCTCACCGGAAGCTCTGGTAAGAGACGGGTTCAGGAGGCCGGAAGTTGCGCCCTCACTACTCGCCGTTTCAAAATGCTGCTGAGGCCTTAGGGCCTGTGACTGACGCCCCCTCCCCCCCCCCGGGCTCGGCGGGGGAGCGACTCATGGAGCGGCCTTAAGGTGTGGCTCTTGGGTTTCGGCGGCCGGGTCCCTGGCGGCTGGGGACAGGAGGTGGAGAGCGGGGAGCGGGCGGTGGTGTGGCCAGTTCGGCGGGCCTCGGATCTGGGGCAGCGGGCAGGTGGAGCTTGAGGCGTGGGTGGCGGCGTTGGGATGGTCGCGCCGGGCGGAAGAAGGGCTGGTGGGGGAAGGGTTATGCGCTGAGGCCCCGAGGAAGGTAAAAATGGAGGTGGAGTGACGTGCTTGCAGCAGTTCGGCCATCAGGTTACACCTGGAATCGAAATGGTCGGTGGACGATGTTTAACTGGACGCAACATTAGAAACCTACTGAGGCTCTTTGGAGGAAAGAGGTGGCCGGAGAGGGAGGGGGGAAGAATGACATCGATGTGTCTCAAGATTTGAAGGTAGTAACTTTCAGGGCTGCACACCATCTGTGTCAGAGACACTTGAGTACTTGTTTGAAGAGGGCTCATTTCGGGGCCACACCCAGACCCGCCCACGCAGAACATCCGGAGATGGGGCTCGGGAATACGTATTTTAAACGGCACTTTCCCGCTGATTCTTGTGCATCCCGGATTTTGAAAACCGCTCTTTTAAAGCAACACCCGTAGAACATGCTGTTGCTTTGTTCCTGTCATCAGGAAAGCTCTGTGTTGGTTAGGAAGCTCCTCCACCCCGAACAAGTATCTGTCAAAGGTACTTGGTACTTTTTGTGTTAAGTGTTCCTACATCTTAATTTAGGTTTTGTCTCCTCCCTCCTCATACCTTCCTGACAGGAAAAGATTTATTTTTAAAGTATTTATTTCACAATATTTTGTTTCACCCAGTACTGGTCAGGATCACAAATTTTTGTAGTTTATTTTTTAAATTTTTGTTTTTTAAAGATTTTATTTATTTATTTGACAGAGAGAGAGAGACACAACGAGAGAGGGAACACAAGCAGGGGGAGCAGGAGAGGGAGAAGCAGGCTTCCCACGAAGCAGGGAGCCCGATGCGGGGCTGGATCCCAGGACCCCGGGATCATGACCTGAGCCGAAGGCAGACGCTTAACGACTGAGCCACCCAGGCGCCCCATTTTTGTAGTTTATATATATAAAAAAACCCAGACGTGTGCCTGAAGTTAAAAAAAAGGCGCATAATACAGAAGTGTGTAAAGTTTAACTGTTCATTAACCCTAACCGGTTCTCTCCTCAGGCTAGCTACTGTTAACTGCTTGATAACATCCTTTTTCCTCCAGTACTCACATTTTTAAACAACAGTGGGATCATTTTGTATGCATTGTTATGCACCTTAAGTTTTTCAGATAATATCAGGGACAGCTTTCCATCAAATATACATATACTTTCTTTTAAACACTCGCATAGTATTGCTTTAGAGGGTTGTACAACAGTTTCGTTTGCCAGTTCCCCACTGATGGAGTTTTAGGTTGTTCCTGGCATGTTGTTTTGCAAATGGAATATACTCTTGCTACACACTTTGCCTGTGTAGGTGTGTGACAGATTTGGTAAGAACTAAACATCTGAATGGTACAGTAGTTTTTTTAAGTTTTTCTTTTTAAAGATTTTTTTTTTTT